TCTCTCTCTCTCTCTCTCTCTCTCTCTCTCTCTCTCTCTCTCTCTCTCTCTCTCTCTCTCTTTTTACATTTGCAGCACAAGGGATCAAACCAAGGAGCTTTATACTGAGCTACATCCCAATCCCCCTTTTTCTTAAAATTTTTATTTTGAGTCAGGAAATTACTAAATTATTTAGGTTCCAAACACCTGTCTTTTAGAATATGTTTGTGCTACCACACTCGCAATCCTTGCTAATATTTCTTTACATTTTTCCAAGCCCTCCTTGTGCTCAAAACATATATCCTCTATTCACTGGCTAAATATCATCATGGTTATCAATGAAGCTTTCATTTTATCTTAGCACTATTATCAAGTTTAGTGTTCTGTAAAACTTCATGTACACACTATAATGGATTGCTTTACTTTTTATGCTTTTGTATATTTGACCTTTTGTCTTTAAGTATCACTATGGCATTGTGAAATAATTTGCATTAGAATGTTCTTCGAATTGTATGTATAATTGGCCATATTTGCCTATGTATGAATTTTTCTTACAGTAGTTCACTTTTACTCCATGAACCACTTTCATAATGTGATCAAAGGAATATTCCCTCCAAAAATTACATCAATATATATATGTTAAATATATGTATATTTAGTAAGATAAATAACCATGGGGCTTAGAAGTCTTAGAACTGGTTTTTGGGATGAAATGATTTTGGAAAGATTGTGAGATGTAGGCTAGAAAAGCCTTAGAATGCTGAGAGTAGAGTCTGATGACTGATTCTGCATATAGTTCAGAAGATCAGAATCCTGATGGAAAAACAGACAGTAAAGAACAAGCTCAGACAGTTCAAGTAGTGAATAAAGACTCCATTGTCAGTTGGAAAAGAGGCCCCTGTGATTATTAGTACGTCAACTTCAGGAGACTAAGAAGTGTCTAGCAGATCAATAAATAATGCTCTTGGGTGTATCTCCATGGGACACAGAGGAGTGACCTGTGCTTCTCCATATGGTCCTTTACCTGTTTTCTCTGTCATTGTTCCACTGTTCCTAGGCCACCATACTAAGCATCTTTGTTCTGCTAGGCCTGTCTGCCATGAGGTTTCTGGCTTGGAGCCTGCCAATAGTGTACTGAATCTCCTAAAATCTGGAGCTAAATTATACATTTCCTCCTTTTAACTGTGAGTGTCAAGTATTGTGTTAGAGTGACAGCTGACTAATAAAGAAAATAAATAAACCATGTATATTACACAGTGGCAGAAAATGTATCTACATTTTCCCCCTGTCTTGAGATATCTCAGGAGACTGACAACTTGGGGAAGGGAATAATTGACAGAGCAGTTGGAATTTCAAAGCAGTCCAACATTCTAGTCATGTCATGAGTAATTCTGTTTGCTTTTAGCTGGTTTTATAATCAGCACTATGGATCAAGAGGAGAGCAGACAATTTTGAAATACTTCTTTTGTCCTAAATCATGTGTTAAACGGGGCAAAGTGGGCGTGGTTGCTGAAGAAATTAGCACCATTAAAAGGAAGTCAACTGTTTTGTATTGAGATATTCCATCCATGTAGTCTCAAAGGTGCAAAAGTATAAACCTTTCATTTCAGGAGTAAGTCTTTAGGTACTTTGCTCCAGAAGAGAAGCCTGGAGAACTGTCACCCTGTGTTCATTTCACCATGCTCAACCATCCTGCCACTCAGAGGTTGATGCTGCTATGAATTGGCTGCTGCTGCTGCCCACACTGGTGGCAGACCCTGGCTTTGTCCACATTATGCTACTTTTCCTGGTATGTGGAACACAGGAGTTGTAGGATCAGGGAGGCTTTCACTGAAATTTCAAAAGAAATCTTGGATGACCAAGCAAGAAGCCCCTGAGAAGAGAGTGCATAAAACTGTGAGAATGAATTCAAAGCAGTGATACAGACTCTGAGAAGCTGAAGATCCCACGAATGTAGAATATCTCCCTAGGAAAGCTCCTGGTTGCTAGTGGGCCAAGCCCAAGAGAGAGGCCATGTGGGCTGCAGTCAACAAAACCCATTGGTGGGGCTGACCAAGCCCTCTGGAACACAAAACTCACAGCTGGGTGCCCCAGATGCCAGATACTTGATAAACAGCTACGAGAATTACAGGACTTAATGTTTGCTCTCCTGAATTTCATTCTTGATTCTCTTTTCTAGTTGCCTATTCCTCATTTCTTGAAATGGAAATGTTTACCCTGTGCTATTATACCTTGGAATTCTGCAACTTTTCAAATGATTATTTTTACAAAGCTTCTTGGTTAAGACTGCTTTGAGTCTCAGCATTAACTTGAACTTTGGAAAATGATAGAACTGTGAGTTTTTGAAAAGGGATTGCTGTGTTTTCCATCTTCTGCAAGATGGTTGTATCAAATTATGTAGAATTATGAATATTCCATTGTTTTTATTTGAAAATTAGCTATTGGATTTAGGAAAGGTGTTTGGGTGTCCAGGTGCAAAAGTTCACCAGTCTATGAAGGGGAAACAAAGGGGAAACGGTGAGGAGGAGGATAAAGAATATCAAAATAGAGAAAAAAAGGGGCAGGAGTTTTGGCACTGAAAGACAAATAGGACAAATACAGTCCTTAACAATTATACATTTGTAAATGACTGAGAGAGGACACTTTAAAGATATTAAACATAGAAATGATAACATCTGGAAAGACAGAAAGACTGCCTGTCCTGATTCGGCTATTACCCATTTTGGATTTGTATCCAACTAATGTGCTCTATAAATGCATGTAATTATATTTTAATTAAAATAAAGTTTCAAAATCTTCAAAAGACTTTCTTATTCCATTCTCTGTTTAATTGTTTTATATATTTAGCAATAAATTATGTGATTTATAAAGAAAATATTCAATGAAAATAACTTACGGAGCTACTTCTACTGTGAAGTACTCTTCTTGTCAAAGTTTTTGTATTTCTTCATGTTTTACAGCAAATTTAAAATAGTCTTAATAACTATTCTAGTGTTAGAAATGACATAAGCACTGTCATTCTCATTTTATTTAACTGGTATTTACTACATGCAGCTTACATGCAAAGTATGAGTTAATGTTACAAGTTAGATAGGTTTGGCCTGCCTGTTTTATACCCTTGTTTCCTGTCATGTAAATGTCCAGTATACAGATCTGTCAAGTAAAAATCCTAAAACCCCTGTAGATGCTACAATTACTTAGGAGTAAGTCAAGCGATATTCAGCGTTTAACTAGTATAAACTGGAAGAAACTCACAAAATCTGGCAAATCTCAAAGTTCACAAAAAGGTTATACTGTGATTTTCAATTACTTGACAAAGTAGAAACTTGTGGTTGAGGAAAAGAAATTATTTTTAAAATCACTTTACAATTTAATCATACACAATTACAGTAGAACACACTGAGTCAGGTTGTAATATCTCAGAGAAACTGTATAAAATTATATAAAATACATACACAATTCCAAGTTTATACTTCCAAAACCAAGGCACATTCATTTTGTTCACTAGTTTCCTAAAAGTAAACTATTTCATATCTTTTTGTGTTTTGGTGGTATTGGGGATTGGACCAGAGCTCTAGCACTGAACTACATCTTTGGCCTTCATTTTTCTTTTTTCTTTTTTAGGCTATTTCTTCTTAAATTATTAAATTACTCAGACAGGGATTAAATTTATGATTCTCCTACCTTAGTCTCCCACAGCGCTGAAAATTTAAGTGTGTGACATCATGCCTAAAAAGTTACCAAATGTTGACAAAGTCAAACAACCCTTAAATGAGGGACTGATTCAGATATTATTATTTCAGGCTTAAGTATTTCATTAGGCTGTTATATTTCTTTGAACCTCTATCCTTCCTATTTATTTACATCACTTCTAACTCCAGAAAAAAAGCTCTAAATGTGTTTCTAGAGAGAATAATTTATCT